CAACACCGCGCGCGCGCGTGCGTACACACGCTCGCATGCACGCACGCACGCACCCCCGCACGCACACGCGCGCACGCACTCACACACACACACGCGCGCGCGCACACGCTCATGCACGCACGCACCCACGCACCGCCCCCCCACACACACACGCACACGCGCACATAGATCTGGTGGACGGACGAATAGGTACCCTACCTACAGCCTACAGGTGTATATATATATAAGTAAAATATACGTGCTGCCGAACTAAAAAGTTCACCATAAACGGAGCCACGGACAGACACCCTTACCCGGAGACACCCTTACGTACACATATATTCAATATTCAGAATCAACTGTTCGATTAAGTGTTCAAATCTCAATGAAACATGTGTAAAGCACACTACGAGGCGCTAACGCTTACGGATAACCGTACCAGTGCCGCCATTTTCGATATAAATGCCCCCTGTGTCAAGGCCATCACACCCTGCTGCTGCCGCTAGTGTAGCTGGTGCACACACACACCAGTATCAGAAACTGAGTAGTAACAGGGTATCGCCGTAGCCAGTGATACTGAACATCCATAACGCAAACAACAGAGGTGCCAGGCACAACCTAACCCGACCAGGCTGTGTTACTAACGTCAATACACCGGTATTCTAACCCTAGCAATACCGTTTCCTGGAGCTAGGCACAACCAAGACGCACGACCGGCGAAATTAATGGTGCAATGACGAAAGCGTTTGTTCAGCTTAGGTGACAAGATACCATAGATAGGCAAGTTATATAGACCGTCGATAATTTAACGAGCGTACGTGTCGTTTCTTTCTACTAGTAGTAGTAGTAGGAAACTAAAGTCATCGTCAAGTATGGCTATTTGCTGCTGGTGTTGCAAGTTGTGTACAGTACTTGTAGTTGTTTTGATTGTCGGGTTGGCGATACGGCGTACGTTCTACACTGTCACGCCTCCGCTACCCGATCTGAGCAACAGTTGGTGGGGCAGAGATGCTAGAGGAATTCACGAGGACAACTCCATCGGTGACTTTTCTGTCCGATTTTCGTCAGCTGTCATTAATGATTTATACGCACGACTCAACCGCACAAAGTTGACAGATTCTTTGCCCGATGTGAAGTTTCGATACGGCATCAACTCTGAGACGATGCGTCACATCGTTAGGTACTGGCGAGAGACATACAACATGGATAGAGCGCAGCTAGAACTAAATAAATATGATAACTTTTTGACTAAATTAGACGGCATAGACGTACATTTCGTTCACGTCAAACCGAAGTCAAGTTACAAGAATGTGACGCCTCTGCTAATGGTACATGGCTGGCCGGGAAGCTTCTACGAGTTCTACAAGATCATCCCGCTGCTCACCGATCCATTGGCTCACGGTGGAAAAAAAGATGACCCTGTTTTCGAGATAATTTGCCCTTCTATTCCAGGATACGGGTTTTCTGAAGCCCCGCATAAGGAAGGTACACTGCAACTTGTGTTTAAATTGTGCTGTTAAAAGTATATGGATCTAGCAAACCTGCCAAATTAATCAAGTCTCGTATAATTTTTCAAAGTTTATATCCATGTCCCTAAGTATTTATGCAAAATCTTTAGAGATATGGGGTTAGGACAAACAAATATTACTTAAAATAGCCAAGTTGACAATATAACTATAAGTGCATATGTTGTATACCACAAAATATAATGGTTGCATCATTATTTGCAGGTTTCGCAGGAATGCATGCAGCTCGGATGTTTAATGAACTGATGCGCAGACTTGGTCATAGACATTATTATGTACAAGGTGGTGACATGGGCTCATTGATCGTGTCCGAGATTGCAATCTTATATCCTGAAAGGTATACTGATATAGACACACACTTTTGCATGGATACACAGGCACCTATATCGGCAGTGCATGCTTAGTGCATGAAAATGAAAAATAGCAATTAAGGGCCAGTTGTTCCCAGCAGTTGCCATAAACTAAGAAATATGTAGTCGTTCGAAGCATTTGTTTTCTATATCTTTCCAATAAGATATTACTTTCTTATACATCACTGGTTACACTTGTATGTCTTGGCTTGTAAATTGTAGGCCCTAATATTAGAAATGCTACTGCAGTGGATATACATGCGTGCACCGTTACAACAGTCGACAGGTTGGCAAGCTACACTAAGCCCCACAGTAATTGTCATATAGTTGGAACTTGGTCATTCTCTTGTCGGTTGGATGCTTAACTGCACAAATTATGACCGATGTGTGCTTTTCAGAGTTAAAGGAGTGCATGTGAATATGCCCATCACCGTGCCAAATGCGTGCTACTTCACGAAACTTCTCGTGGGGTCCATCTTCCCGAGTTTGGTGTTTAACAAGGATGATCTGTGGAAGGTCTACCCGTTGTTCGAGAAAATGACCGTCCTGTTAGAAGAGACAGGCCATGCTCACGTGCATGTCACCAGACCCGATACAATTGGTAAATCATAGCAGCTTGCAAGTGCGGAGTGGTGAAACTTAGAAGTATTGTAGTTTGGAGATCTGTGTATTAGCGTCTATGTAGATCTGATACCATGTACAGTTATTCAATAAGTAGCTGTGTGGAAGATATAACAAACTTTCTGTTCAGACATATCACTAATTGAAATATTGCACATTGCATATTGGTGTCACTATTCGATATACAACAAGTTGATGTGTCACACACAGTGTGGCAAATGCTGATATGTATGTTAACAAGGATATTTGTATACATCAGCTCATTGTATATTGAATAGGGATGTAGCTGAACTGAAGATTTGTATGTGTGAAATAATGACATGGTCTTTTGGAAACATGATGATAATAATGTGTGCGTGCGTGCGTGCGTGCGTGCGTGCGTGCGTGCGTGCGTGCGTGCGTGTGTTTGAGTAACTGGGCATGTGTCATATTCTGATACACTTTACATCGGTTAGTTATAACATGCGTGCTTTTTGTCATTATGTGGCTGTATAGGAGTTGGCTTGAGTGACAGTCCTGCGGGATTGGCCGCCTGGATCATTGAGAAATTTGCTGTCTGGACTAAGCTGTCTAACATCCACGATAACGATGGAGGACTGGCCACGCAGACGTTTACCTTAGATGAGCTGCTCCACAACGTCATGATATACTGGGTGACGGACAGCATTACGACATCCATGAGGCTCTATAAAGGAGTGTTCTACTCAGATGCTGAGCATGGGCTGACAAGGTGTGCACATCAGGTTTTCCCCCAGAAATTTAAAGAAGGCATGTCATTTATGGACAAAGGGGGCCCCGGGATAGGGTTGTACTAGTTAGAGTCAGTTAAGTGGCCCGAGTACACAAGTAAACTCAATCAGTTCGGAGATGTGAAAACACGTCACGGCCGCGTTGGGGTTGTCAAAAGTAAACGTAGCTGGAAAATGTGACCCGCTCCAGCATAATACGGACTAAGTCGCAAGTCATTGTTTTGAGTAATGAGCACGCACACATGTCAATGCTGAAAATGGCCTACCTGGACAAAAATGAGATTTTTACAAAAATAAGTTCCTAAGTGCATATTTAATCCGGATATATAGGTTCAGATATCTCTAGATTATTATGGTCATTTTTAATTTTAAAAAAAATAAAAAAAATAAAAATTTATGGTCCCCTGACCGCTCATCCCCGACTGGGTCCCTTACCCGGAACGCTTTATCTCAAAAGCTGCATATTCTGGAATAAGTCGGTTTCCGATCTATATATGACTGTAGATCGGTCAATTCTTTAGATATAGCTAAATATTATATATATATCATTTTAAAGGTAATTAAATGATCTATTCAGATATGCACATAACTCAATTTGTAGAATTTCCTACTTAATCCTGGTTTTGCTGGAGCGGGTCACATATAGGATGTCGCAAATTGGCTTCAATTTTGAAGGCATGTCAGACCCGAAATACATTTAAAGCCTTGGAAGAACCCTGCACATGATGAAAGCTTATGTACACTGCCTCGATCTCCGAACAAATGCTAAAACAATGGCAGATAACTTTATGACATAATATTCTTTAATGTTTTGTTACATTTATACCTGCACCTTGCACACATTTAATTTATGCATAATGATGTATGCAGTACTAAAAGTACTGGAAAAACACGAGCCACCATGACGGCTATACATTTGTAATAAACTGGGGGTTATTATAATCTAACTTTATCCATCCTGTGACATTGTTTAAAGCTCTAATAAAGGCATCAAAACATCACATAGTGTGGGGGATATTACACGAGAAAGTACTGTTCGAAATTGCACAAAATAAGCATTTTTCTTTTCTTGTTTGTTTTCTTTTGTAGGCATCACCAGGTATCTGTTCCCAGCGGCTATGCAGCATTTCCGGAGGAGCTTGTTGTATATCCAGAGACACTGGTGCGTCACGAGTATCCGAACCTTGTTCACTACACGGACATGCCGACCGGTGGTCACTTTGCAGCGTTTGAGCAGCCGCAGCTATTGGCTAATGACATCCGCAAGTTTGCTCAAACCGTTGAAGGTTTGGCAGCATCTAATGGAAAAGAGGAACTTTGAGCATTTCCTCGGGTCTTCACGGTCCGGAGAGTCATTACAAATAAGCATTTGTCACGCTAGGAAATCTATGCTTGTTTCTGAAAGAAGAATCTCCTTATTTAGCTGCTGCATCACTGCTTGTCTTCGGTTTGATGGTTTTTGTCTCTGGTATCTGACAATTTAGGTACATGTAAACAAAAATCTCCAGTCTCTATTTTCACAGACATTTGCATTGTCACATTTTGTGGGATTGCATTGTCTAGTGGTTAATCACATCTCGACTAGAGTACACAGTCTAGGTCAATTCCTGTATTGTAAAAATTCACACACATATTGTACCAATGATGAAAATTTCCTAGTCTGCTCATAGGGTTGACAGAGTGTCCAACCTGTAGACTAAAGCTGCGTTTACACTATCGATTTTTGTCAGCAAATCGTACCGATTTCAAGTGCATTCCAACTTGCCCCCGACTTGACCCAAGTGCATTCCAACTAATCGGCTGAAATTCGATTGTGTTGGAGTCGGAGTTGGAGTCAAGTCGCCGAGTTGGAGAAATAGAACGTGTTCTATTTTGCACGACTCGGATGATTTGCTGACAAAAATCGATAGTGGAAATGCAGCTTTAAGAAATCAGGATTTTCATTAGGGGGTGGGGTGGGAGGGGGGTCTGGGGCATGTCCCCCTCCCCGAAATTTTTTAATTAGGATTTAGTAAATGGGCACACAATCCGTGCACTATTTCGTATCACTATTTTATCAAATAATTAATAAAATAATGGTCGGATTTTTAATATCTTTGCAATTTTTATTAGTCCAAATCTTATTACAGAGCCTGAGGGTACGAGTAACCTGGCCGCTGTAAAACTTGTGGTAAAAAAACTAGAAATTCTCACGAATATCTACTTGTAGCAGTGGTAGATTGAGCCAAGAGCGAGAGCGCCATCTGTCATGGAGTTTGAGCCGTCTGTTCACTTGAGCCCGCAATACAGTTTCATGCCATGGTATATTTACCGCTAGCTCGAAATGCATGCAGGGAAGGCAAGGAGCGTTCAGAATCGATTTTATTGCTAAGAATCGTGAGAAATTAAGTGGAAAATATATCTTGACTTTTTTCGCGAGATAGTGCGTGCAAAATATCGAAAATCGGAATTTTCCTTATCCCGAAGGAGGTTACGTCGGGATTCGGGGATTTCGATCAAAATCAGGATAATCCCGACGAAATCGGGATGGTTTGACACTCTGGGTTGAAGACAGAGAGGAAAAATTATAGCATCAGTATCAGTAGATATACTTATACTTCATATTATAATTTATATTAGATTTATATACACATGCAAGGCGAATAACTTTTAATTTTATGTACGGGAAGATTTAGAAATGTATTTTAGATTTAAAATCGATATATTTTGCTCCAACAAGTTTTAAAGTCAGTAGAATAGCAATGTTTTAAAATAAATATGTCTCATTCTGTCACAAATTGTTTTGCTGTGATGAATATAGTTTAATGTGCATTACAAATTATTTTTGCCGACAGATGGCGGAACGATGCCATATTTGACTTATATATGCTAGAAGGTTTTATATTGAGTGTAAATTTATTAGTATTATTATGTATTTATTTGTTTAAAGACTGTAAAATGCTAAAAGTGAAAACATGTGGTTTGCGATGTTCTTGCCAAATGCATGGATGCGGCGTGGGTGCGTGTACAGATGAACGGAAGTTGACCAGTTCCAGTAATGGGAAACGGGAGTGTCGTTTGAACAGCTACAAGGATTAGAGCCAACCGAATATTTCATTGTTTTAACAGCACATAGGTGGCTCCCCAGCACAGAATAAGATAAGATGGTAGCTTGAAATGCTCCAGGAATAATAAAAGCTAGTAATTATAAAGGAATGATGAAGATAAAGCATCGCCATTTCACAGTGTAGATAAAACAAGATGACAAAATACAAAGCAGAAGCCTTTATAGCTCTAGAACTATAGCCCTCCGCTCCGCCGCAGGAGGCTATCGCGGCGGAGCGGAGGGCTATAGTTCTAGAGCTAAAGCCTTTATAGCTAACTCATCTTGCCCTGGGGGTAAAGTGACGGTTTGTGTTGGCAATTAACCCATGGTGGTTCGCCGTTGACCATGCACGTAATACAGGGCCGTAGCTAGCGAGGGGGCAAGGGGGGAAATCCCCCCTTAGAAAAAATATATAATACATAGTCAATGACCGTAACATTCACAGAACACCCCATACACAGGGCTTCGCCCCCCCCCTCCTCCCAGACAAAATGGGTTAGCTACGCTCCTGAATACTATCTACTTGGCGTGGCGATCTGGGTGGCAATTTGGCCCTTAATTGCCCCTCCCCGCTAGCTATGGTCCTGCATGCAATGATAATTCAATTAATTGTGAAAGTATCATTATATCGAAACCCACGTGGGTACACCCTTTGGCTAACGCTCCATTAGGAGTGTTCCCAACTTTGATATCATTAATGATTAATGATTGATAATCCTAATCCTAACCCTAACCCTAATCTAAATGACATTAAACCACAAACTAATATATGACCAATATATATATGTATATATATGTTATTATGACCATTAATGACATTAAAGTCAGGAACACTTCTAATGGAGTATCACCCCACCCTTTGGATGAAGTGGGTGGTTCACATTTAACCGGTGAAGCGATGACAGGGATCGGGTTTTTGAAAAGGGGGTGTCCAGGAAGAAATAAAGTGTACTTTTTCCTGCTTACTTTTTCTGGTGTTTTAAAAAGCTGCCGAAGGCGAGTTAGGGGGGGGGTTTGGGGGACCTCCCCCAAGATTAAAAAAAAAATTGGTGCATTCTGAGAGCATCTGAGCAGTAATTTTGATGTCTAGAATGCAAAAATTTATCAGATCCAGTCCCCCGGACGCCTGCGGACCCCTCTTTGCCCATTTCTAGGTTTTTATAACGAATTTACATATATATATAAGTAAATCTTTATCAGAAAAACTAGCGCTAAACAAGATTTTTTTTATGGAGACAATATAAGAGAAGTGTGTATGTGTGTGTGTGTGTGTGTGTGTGCGCGCGTGCGTGCGTGTGTATGCTTTTTTTTCTTTTTTTGCGGTAAAAACGGGGGCCGGACCCCCTCGACCCCCTCTGGATCCGCCCCTGCATGACCCTGGATCTGCCTCTACGTGATATTTTGGAATGGCAATCCCAAACACAAATTCTTATTTATCTACTCTTGGTGCTAATTTTTACATGTAGATATTGATGTTATTCACATGTAACTTGGCCTGCACTACCCAATGCTAACACCGACAATTTAAGTTTTGTAACTGTAATATTTACCAACTCGCGCGACGCATATACTCGGCACGTTTAATGTAAAACAAGTTTTTTGCGTCGTAAGGTATGCACTTTATTATCGTGCACCAAACGGCGTACTTCATTAATATTTTCTACATCGATAATTCCCATTACGTGACGACAGCATTGAGGCGCCTGCAGATCTTTGTAATCTTACAGCTAGATGTACTGCTTTCATCAGCAATAATAAGAGCAAAGATCAACGCGCGTTTGTGTTAACTCGATCGGGTCACAGGATCGAGGACACGCAGTTAGGGCCTGCATACCTCCCAAATCCCATTGGTTGATACAAATCCAGAGAGACATGATACAAGATTGTGTGGCACAGCTTTGCTGTTGATCCTGAGCGCTGCGCGCGGATGAGACGCGCAGTTCCGCGGGATATGCGCACGCGACCGCGGGAATGTTCAAGTATGAAGTGCTGTCCGCAGTGGAGACGTGCGCCAAATTCGAGGCCCGGCGCACGTCTCCACAGCGGTCAGCGGATGGTCTGTAGTTTTAGAAGATGACAATGATTATATATGGACGATATTCTAGGAATTGGAGTTTATAAATCAGTAACAAAAATCGCTCAGTCATGCTCCAGATTAGCTGAATCAAAAATATTAGAATTTAATATGAATAAAACAAATACAATGGTTATAAAATTCACAAACAAAGAAAGGATAGAGAAGTAGATATTAATAGGCAACCAAGTAATCAAAAAATGCACCAAATATTCATACCTAGGGGATTTAATTAATGATATAGGAGGTTATAGCGATATGATAAGAGTCCGAACTGAAAAATGTAGGTTCATAATGAGGGAAATATTATCATGGGCAGCAGAGCAAAATTACGGAAATCATACTATAGAAGCAAGAGTGAAATTATACGAATGCACAGTTTTACCTTCCTTCCTAAATAACAGTGAAACATGGACTAAGGAAGAAGTAAAAATGTTGGAGGATTTCCAAAATGAGTGCCTGCGCAAAATAATAATCACGCAGAAAACGCAGAAAAATTTACCGAAAGGCATTGAAAGACGATGAAAACTCCAAGGAAAGATACGGAGAAATCAGTAAAAATAACATATAGTTTCTATACGTAAATCGTGGTAAATACATTAAAAATGCATTATTTTATTGAAAATCCCCATATTTACTTATAAAACATCCAAGAGATGGCGCTGTGGCATGTAAACATTGGCTCTGAACATTCCAACCTCTGTCGTGCAGTGTACTGTGTTTTGCTGAAATGTTCAATGAATGACGCACTCGTTCACTTCCGACAGCGAGTGAAAATGGCAAAAAAAATTCCACTTCGGTGCGAAATGCATCAGCCGGGCCTTTCTCATTATTTACGAAAAACAAACAATCTCGCCAAACAACTACACGCAGTAACGGTCACGTCGTTGACGCCCTATTCATGCCCATTAACGAAGAAGGCGGGGCTTATTCTGATTACGGAAATGCGAAAATGCAACAGAAGGACGTAGCGCAGTGCGCTAAACAGCGTGTTATTTTCGTTTTTGTGCCAAACTCTATCGTAGGAAACCGTTCTAGCCTAGCAGAATGCCCTAGTTCCTGAGATCGGCGATTTGGTGGTGCTATATGGGTCCCCATGCACCTATAAAAATATCAAAGAGAGGTGCGGCGTAGGCCTTGATTGGAAGACACAAAGGTTCAATACTCGGCGCGCCTCGGCATCATGGCCGCATCACGTCAAGTGCCTCAAACTCTTGTTTTATAGTGCATTGTGACCATAGAAATAATATAGATACCCTAACTAGATATGGTTATCTATATTATTTCTATGATTGTGACCCTAACCCTAACCCTAATTACCCTATTAAAAAAAATATGTTGTTATTAAATTGTTGTAAATAAATTATGTAAATATTTGCGTTAATTGGAAAATGATAGTTAAATGGATAAAGATAGAAAAATACAGAAAACAGGAAAATAATTAAAAAAACAGATGGGATTCGATCAACGACCTTTCAGCCGTGACGGCCGTGCTGTACGCGTTCGGCTATTCAGGCTTATTGGGTTTATAGATTATGGATGTGCCATGAATATGACAACACTGTCACGTCATTGAGGCAGTTGAGCCACGTGATTTGTATCAACCAATGGGATTT